ATGGATCGGAGGTGTGCGGGTAGAGGGAGGAAATGGGAAGGAAGGACAGAATCGGAAGTTCGGAAGAGAAATGAAGAGAAGAGGCCAAGACATGAATGGAGAGATTGACGAATGGACAGTATAGGAATGGTGGGGACCTGTCATTTATCCCGGAAGCCAGGTGTTACAAATGAAGTTGGGAAGGTAAATAAATAGCTACCCCTCGCCTATTTGCGGCAATGATATTGCTGATCAATAAAACATAATTCCCCCATATACAATCCCCCGACAGGAGTCTTCGTGAACCAGATTTTCACTCTTACCATGTAGAATTGGCCCCTCCCCCACCTTTAGCCACTCTAATCTCCACCAAAGGGAGCTTCCATTCCACAGGCACTTCCAACAACCAAGTGTAGGTTATTGACTAAAGAGTCCTCCCAAAGTAATCTCTACTGGTGATAAGATCTGGTTATGAGATCATTTGAGCCTGGGAACCCGCGGGTTTAATTTAATTGCCATAGGCACTGTTGTCACTGTAGTCATAATCCATCACTCGACCTGTTGTATGACAAGGTATGGTAGCTTGAAATTTTCTCCCCCGGACGATTCTCCTAACTACCAGACTCATCTGGTGATAGCTTTGGAAGCATGGTCTCTCGTTTTAGAGGTTTACCGTTTCGGGCCCCTACAGCTTTGGTGTTCTTTTGCACCCGGAAGCCATGCACGATTGTACGTTTTCACTCCCTCCCATTATCCTTAGCCCGAGTACCATACCTTCCATCCGCCCTTTCCTGGGTGTGAGTTTCTATTTTGGCCTCCGGGTTTGTTCGCTGTCCGGTACGATTTAGGTGTATATCTTAGCATGTCTTTCCCAGCTATAATTCATTTCGTCATTTTCTCAGGTCCTATCTCACTCTCGCCACTTTATCCTTAGCCCATTTCTTTGAGCAATTAGTTGCGGTTGCGGTGATATGGGGAGACTACCACCGGCGCTTCGCTGGTCCATAAGGTAAAGTGATTCAGGCAACACGTTATCAGAGAGCCCGGGGGTCATTCTCTCATGATGTTGTTTTCACCCCCAGGCCCTGTGGGTAGGAATATAGTTGTAAACATAATAAAGGAAAAGAAATGAATCTCAAGGATAGATCAAAAATCAAGCAGACCAGGTGCCCTAAGACAGCTGGCATAATGCCCGCCTTGCAGTGAAGGCGTTAGGCTACAAGAATCCACCGTCAATGAGCGGAGGACTCTGCCATTAGGTAAATATGAGGGGAGAAGATGGAGTGGGAGGGAAGGGAGGTATTTATATTTGCAATATAGGGATTCCAAGACATAGTGAATTTTTCCGGCAGGAAATGGTAGCCAGTCTGATATGGGGTAATACTCTCAAGAACTCCAAAAACCAAACTTCCTGATCTTCCGTTATTCGACCAGGTTTCCGATAGCACCCTTCTTCAGCAAAACTCTTGCAGATGTCTCCGCACCCACCCTGTTCTCACGACAAACGATATATGGTCACTAATAGTCTAGCAAGCTTCGACACAAAGCCATTTCCCATGACTAAGGCCACGACTCCACGATACTCCTGCTCCCTCGATAAAAGTGAAAAGAGGAGGGCAAAAAATGCAGATATCCCTACAGCACCACCGGCCAAACGACAAATACCCCCCCCCCCCACAAGCACATACCGTACCACCTCATGTACTACACTATACGCACCGCCATTCTTCATTTCACGCGTACCTAACCCACGCCCACACCACGGAACCACCGCTCCCACCCACGTTTAAACCTCAAATACCTAAACCCTAACCAACCTCGGAAACGCCCAGAACCAATCCCGCCTATTTACCCCACAGCCAACATAGCGAAGGCATCTACAGGGAGAAAATCAGGAGAGAAAAAAGTCTTACAGTTACTGTACCGATAGTCAATCGTACCGCACTCCCCTCCCACTTCACTTCACAGCATTCTGCCTGCACCGCACCATACCAATTACGGTTGTGTAGGGCGTGGAGTGGAGCGAAATGGGACCTGATGCTGTACGTGGCCGAATAATAAATTAACCTGTGGCAGTATCGAATTCCCACCATTGTCTTGTGCGGAGAGTTAAGTATGGCAGGAAGGGAAGGGAGGTTTAGGGATATGGTAATCAGTCTGTGCAGGTCCAGGTTCGGATTTTGCGCATGCTGCAGAGTTTAAGCTTGCTGTACTCGTAGGGGAGTACTAGTACCATACGAGCACAAAATGGTATCGGCCGGTATTACCGATAGACATGCGCTTTCCTGCCGAGAGGGTTGGAGTCTTGAGACTTCCGCTCTAGGGTATCTGGATATGGTACAATACGGTAATGGTGGGGGAGGTTTCAGCCATTACAGTTAATACAAGTGCAATCACAGTACCATTGCCCATTGTCAGTGGTTCTCCTGTGGTCCCTCAAGGGGAGACAAAGATTTGTATCATACTGTATCATGCTTGTGTTTACTGCAGCCCTAAAAAAACGGAAGACGCTCTGCTCGTATCACACTCCTCTGCAGGCGAAGCCACCGCACTCCAATAGTACTGGCACTCGGTGATGAGCATAAGTACCGTACAGCAGCGCTCCTCCAAAACTAGTGGAGCGTCCGCATGGAAACTAGCACAAATCAGGAAACTTGAGTGATACCTCATGACTACAATTAGTGGAGGGCAAATGTTGGGCCAGCTGAGTATCATACCTTCTTTTTACCGATGGTGTTGCTCTCCTCCAAGGAGGGACAGTGTCCCACAGTGCTTGTATCGCCGGTTTGCTTTCGCCGCTACTGTCCTGGCTAGAAGTGCCCGAAAATAGTGGGGAAACTTTTTGTGCTCGTACAGGTCCTTAGATATGCATAGTTTTTTTTTTTTTTTGCCATGCTGTTACCCCTGTTTTCCAAGTGCCCGAGAACTTATCTCCTCGGACAAATACAGATACCGTGCCGGTTCCCGGACCGTATTCCAGATCTAGCACCCACTCTGGACCCGTGTGCAGATTTCGCTACCTTTTGCAGTAGCGCAGCCAAAGTCCCCGGGTCAACCAAAGATCTTTACCGAAGGTAGTATAGCCGGGGAGCTCTCGCTATGACCTGACCCACCCCATTGCTTGTATACCTGTACTTGTAAATGTATAGAAAAGCATCTACATTCAAGATTGCCATGCTTGAACAAACTCCTAATCTCGGAATACCGTACCCTAGGGAACCATCTCAAAGGGCGACACAATTGGCCTCTTGTTTAAAAAAAGTCTCCGGACCGGGATGCAAATAAGTGATTTGCTATAATTATGGTACTTGTACTTGTACCATACGGCTTAGAAAAACAACTACCGTATCATACAAGCATCACAGTAGCCCCTCTTTTTCTCTCCTTTCTCCTTACCTACTCGTACGATATCTAGACTATCCCATGACTGGCTACCGGTACACGAGTACTTATTTCCCATAGCCCATTATGTAATACCCCCTTCAACCATAGACAACGGGCCATAATTCAACCCAAAACCCACCTCGCATCTCTACGCCCCCAAAAACTCAATTCTTCCAACCAGAAAAAAAGGGGGGACAAAAGGGAAAAATGAAAAAAGAAAAGAAAATGAAAAAGGAAAAAAAAAGGAAAAACCTCTCAACTCCTGTCACCTCACACATCACAAAGTGCTGGTGCCGCATCTGTAGAACCACCGTATACGGACGGTACTCGAGTACGGTACCTGACACCACTCCATCCCTGGTTTCGCACACTTTTAGTCCGAAATTTTAACGACAAATACAGTGGGGGAGGCCATAAATCACAATTGTGACCCGGCGAATAATTCTCAGAAGAGGGTGAGTCACGATGTTATGACTTTAGCTCGTTTATCCACTTATCCACTGTACCCGGGTTAGCAAAGAGACTACTGAACTCGAGTACAGTACCGGTAGTTCATGAGCTCGTAAACGTACTAGTAGTACTCGTACAGTATCACACAGGGGAGCACAACAGCGTGGAAAACCGCCAAGGCCGCCACCACCAAACGACTTATCAGGGGGCCCAGCCGAGGGGCGGGAAAAAAAAATCCAGTGCGGTGCTCGAGCACGATCACACCCCGCTACAGTAAAGTATCCCCGATGGCTAAAACCCCGGGGTTTCATCCGGGACAATACAAGTAGGAGTAGAGCAGAGCGCGGGACAACCGAGGAGCAGCAAGAAGAAAGGTCTGTGATACCCACAGCACGAAATGCCCTAAGGACCTAGATAATCTGACCGCACGTTAAGGCATTAACCTCCCACAGTGTGGCCCATTTCTTAGTCAGTTGGAATGCTGAAAGCCAGCTCCTTTCTCTACATATGAGGGAATTCTAGACGTCTTAGCGCGGGGTCCGATTTTCCAGCCCCCCCGCTCGCAAATTTACTCAATGTAAGGAAGCGAGGTGCGGCTGTACCTGAATGCCAAGGGGTAAATAAGCACGTGCAAAACAGCCCAGAACATCACTAGCGCTCACTCGATTCCCTTCACTGGCTGGGCCCACTAAGCTGCCGCAAGAACTCTGAACAATTGGCACTCGTACGAGGACGTTGGACTTGCCCTTACTGGCATGGTCCAGCAAATTTCTATCTTAAGCTATTGTAGAGTTCAGGGGTCAGTTTTCGGAGTGTTTGGCCCAAGTACCCGTGAACGAGTGATGTCTAGCAAGGGGTTTATAGCGATGGGGAAGCGGAATCGGGGGGGAGCGGGTGCACAGAATTGATGGCGAGAAAAGTCATGATACGATGGTTTGTTGGATGCACACCCGACGGCCCCTCACCCCTTGTCTGTGTGCGTGAGTATGTGAGGAAGGAGGTTTTCACCGACTTCTCGCTTCTGCGGGGTTTAGTGGAGTGGGGTCGAGGTTGGCCCGTTAAATAGGAGTAAATGAACAGATAAGTTTGAAGTCAGTGACGGTGGGGAAGGCCGAGGCGTCTTCAAGCTTGGATAGGACGGGGCCAATTCACAACATCCGAGTTGTCCGGATGGAAATATAGTCCATAGAAAACAAGGAAAAGCTATAAACTTCTAGATGATAAACTAGGAAATAAAATGGGTTTTTTGGAATAAATTTTCTTCTTCGAATGATTACCAGAACATAATTATTCCGCTCCGCTTCTTCATCCTCATTACAAAAACCCCTACGCCAGAATTCCAAATCAGAAAATCATTACCAACTCAGCTCTACCCCCTTACAACAGCAGGACTGCGAAAGCACCGACAGCACCGACAACACCAGCGGCACCAGCACCCACACGTCCGGCAGCACCAGTGTACTGAGCAACGTTAGGTGAGGTCTTGTTGCCAGACCCATAGACAGCCGGGCATCCGGGTCCACCTGGGCAGCCGGCAACAGGAGTAGGCGCAACATATGGGGTGGTGGTGACAACAGGTGGGCAGTTGGCGCCTCCTGGGCATCCGACGGGGTAAGTGACAACGGGTGGGCAGTTGGGTCCGCCTGGGCATCCAGCGGGGTAGGTGACAACTGGGCAGTTGGGTCCGCCTGGGCAGGTATAGGTGGTTGACACGGAAGGTGGGCAGTTGGGTCCTCCGGGGCACTTGTAAGTGACAGTGGAGATCGTGGGAACAGCGCAGTGGGTTCCACCAGGACAAGGGTAGGCGGTGGTGGAGTAAGTAACAGGGCAGTCCGGTCCCCCAGGGCACTTGTGGGTGTAGGTGGCAGCTGGGTGGCTATAGGTGGTCAGGGGAGCAAGAGTGACAGTGTTGGTGTAGGTGTAGCAAGGGGAGCCGGGTCCACCAGGGCACTTGCTGACCTGCAACACATGTTAGTATGTGGTGTACACGCTAGAGCCGGGTGGAGCGAGGACTTACAGTGTAGGTTGAGCAAGGAGTGGTGACGGTCAAGGAAAGAGTTGATGTGTAAGTGACTGGCTCAACGGTAGTAGTGGGGGTGCAGATGGTCTTCTGTGTGCAGGTGGTGATGGTCTTGGTGACCATCGAGGTAAGGGTGACACAGGGAGGAGTGACGACACCGCCAGGCGCAGTAGTGGTGGTGTTGCCATACTTTGGAGGAGTGGTAGTGACGTTAGCACCGTGGCCACCAGTTCCGGTTCCGTGTGCGCAAGCGGCCGGGTTCTGGTCGGGGTTGAAGACGCTGGGGCAGTTGTCGACGTGGTCGCAGATACCATCGTTATCAGAATCACCACCCTTTCCTGCGCAGGGGGAGACGGTTGTTCCCTCCTTGCACTCACCAGTGCACGCACCAAGGGTAACGAAGACGGAGCTGTCACGAAGACGATCGGCAATGTCGCAAATGGCGATCTCGATCTTGTGGGTTCCGACCGGGGCAACATGACCAGACTTTAGGATAGGAGTGGATCCGTCGAAGTTAGACCCCGAACTAGGAGGGACGAGGACCTTGTCGCTCTTGAAAAACGGACCGTTGATAGTGATGGGGGCACCCGTGTCATCGAACGCAATCTGCTTACCATCGACGTAGATACCCATCACATCGTTGAACTCGGAACCAACCCACTCGGGGTACTCCTCTGAAGCGAAAATGAACTCGGTGAAGAAACCCGTGAAGCCGGACAGGAGCTCGACGTTCATGGTGAGAACTGCGGCATCGTAGGAAGAAGAGCCACCGGCAAGAGCACTGCAAAGAGTGCTTCCTGCTGTTCCCTTGGCCTTGGAGATATCACTTTCAGTGCCGGCTCCAATGGTGTCGACGGCGTCTCCGCTGGTAAGGACAGCAGCACTACGGATTCCCTGGGGGCCATCGGTGTAAGTACCGGAGCTGTCTGGGGAACCAGCATAGCTGGCGGAGACGAGCTTGATTCCAGGGCTGGAGCCAAGGATCGCCTGTGCCAAGGTGTTGGCATCGCCGGTAGGGGTGACAGCGAGTCCTGAGACTGCAGTGGCGAATAAAGCCGCAAAGGTAAGAGTATTAAAGATCATTGTGGATTTGATATTTGTAAAAGAAAGACTTAAAAAGAAGGACTATCCTCAAAGGAGGGATTATTGTAGACAACCGGAAGCTGGAAAAAAGGAGTGATTTCGGGCTACCGATGGAATAGTGGGTGAAGAAGAAAGGTGTAGAGAGACGGGAGAGCAGCCAACTTATATACAAGTACAGTATGATATCACGACCGAAACTCTGAACCATCCGACGGATAAAAAGGAGAAGCCATTGGAGGCTGTGATATCGCCAACCATCCATTGCCTTTGCCCCTTGCAGGTAAGGTGCAAAAAGAAGCAAACCAAACCCGTGGGAGGGCACTCGCTTTGGTGACCAATAGAAAAGCACTGGGTGGGTAGGTGCAACATGCCAGAATGTGTGCCTCAAGCTTTTTCCCAGTGGAAATCTGGACTCCACCCCCCCCCCCTTCCAGCCCCAGCAAACCTCTTTCAGCAAAGGCCCTTTGCCCGGAGCCCAATGTACTCGTACCGTACCGCAGGAGCATACCGGTGCGGTGCAGTACTGGGGAGAAAGGTACCGCAGCAGATACCAGGATACCTGACAGGTAATTTCCTGGTACGAGTAGAACTTGGAAATAGTAACAAGCGATACTATTTGGCGCCTCCATCGAAGGCCATCTCCAATCACTAATGACGCACAAACATCACCACGAAATACCGGTATTGTCAGCGTTAGGATGTTGCGGTTGAGCACAGGTTTGAGTGGCTAGCGCATCAAATTAGATAACTCTCGAGGGTGCCATGATTTTTCGATTCAGCAAGCCACGGTTATGGTGTGTGGAGATGAGGAGAGACGGACCAAGGCAGACAATAATAACGGGGGAGCACAGTACTCGAGTAGATGGCTGTTGAGCGGAGGTTTCTGATGAAGACTTGGCATCGTGTCTTAGAGTCTTGGCAGGGATGTGGTTGCGAGGTCCAGAAGGCCAGTGCAACGTTGCACTGGGACCTTTCCCTTTTTCTCCCATCCCAGCGGCAATACCGGTACAGGTACCGTACTCGACTACGGTACTGATTGGGACCGCCAGGCCCACACACTCACACTTGGAAAAATACGGTACAGTATGTGTGCACGGATTGAGCACTATTATACGGTACTCGTATCGCCCTGCAGCCCATCCCAATCGACAGAAAAATGCCCCTCAAACTCAAGAGCAAGCAGTTATCCGAGTTGGGTGCCCCCAAGCATCTTGAGACAAAAAGGGGAGGGGATGGAATACTAAGCCTAGTCAAGACCTTCGAACCCGGGCAACAGAACCGTCATTTCATCCAATAGCCAATAGCATGCGTTCTGCCCCTGAGGCTGAGCATATCTGTAAATGTCTCGTGGGATCAGGGTCACAAGGATCACAACCACTTGTCTCTGCTCAACGGGGATCCCCGTCGAAAAGCTTTGTTATGCGAATGATTCGCCCCTCAACCGTACGGTAGTACTAGTACACGGCCAAAGCACAGTACCACACTCAAGCTCATCAACAGGCATCCGTACTCGTACTAGATTAATACGATACCGGTACTCGAGTACGCGATTTCGTACAGTACGGTACTCGACCTGACCAACCCGAGCGTGCTCTTGCCGGCAACCCAACCAGCCAGGATTCTGGGCTGAAGGGTCCTCAAAGTGCTTATACCATTCTGTGGGAACCGAGGCCGTTCGAAACCTTGTGCCAGACTTGATGCCAATCTAAGGGTCCAAAGACTTGGAGAGGAATCATGAACACCATGGTACGGCGGGTCAAACGTACAGGTAGGGCAGTTGGGACTTTTCACTACGCAACAACGAGCTACACCCCATGAAAAAGGCTCGGTTAGAATAATAAATAAATAAATAAATAAATAAATAAATAAA